GCTAGGCCATGACAATAAGTAGCCACAGTGTGGCAAGCAGTATGTTATGTTATTTGCCACATTCTAGTTAGTCTTTATTCATGTATAAGTTGTAATACTTGAATGTATTATGTATGATATTCTTGTTTATAGTGGATATATATCCTTACATCATGCATTGTGTTATAGAATTGCATAATTATTGTAATTTCGGAGTTTAAGCAGTTTGATTGCACGAAGCTATATAGCGCTATGGTATATGACAATGTGGTTAATGGAGAATGATAACGCAGAATAGTTGACGATATTGGACAGGTCGAATTCTAGAACATTAATTACATTACTAGAGTAACCAAGTAATTTCAAAGGATCGGTGGAATTACAACCAAGTTTCCTAAGTCTTGTACGATCGTACGATCTTCCTGGAGTCCCATATCGTGCACAGCTTTAGCGATTGCAAGAAGAATATTCTTTTTACAGTTGGACAATGAAACGCCGAATTTACGGTGAACATTTCTATGCTGTTGCACCGTCATTCTATCGAAGTCGAAGTTTTTTTAACAAAATTATTGGAACTTACATTAAGTATTTGTAGATCTACTAATCCCTGCGGTTTTCTATTTGCAATGTTTTATTGCAATACAATAGACACTGCGCATTTTAGCTTTAACTGCTTCCTCCATTTAATGCATTCGTAACAGCTGTCGTCATCTCCGCTCTTGCTGTTTGCACCTAGATTGAAAATTTTAAATTTAAAAAAATAAAAATATTTACAACATAAATTACATTCTTTTACGATTATTTCAAAAATTACAAGTGGGAGACATTTAATTATGAATGATATTTCTTTTCCGCTGTTCGGAGAATGAAAACAAAATCAGAAAACGGACGGTACATCTGCTTTGATGTTTGACATTTTAATTTGTTTGGGAATTAAATAACATTACCTGTGGTCACTAGTGATTTCATGTTTTGAGAAAGTCTTTCTTAGGTTTAGCATTGTTCTCCCCATTGGTAAATACACTAATTTGAGAGGATTTTCGACACAGATAGAAATGAATAGAATATGAACAACCAACCATCGGATTTTTTGTTTATGTTCCGTTGTAAGTTTTGTATTGACAGAGGCATATACGATACCAAAATATCCTGAAAATGTAATCTGCTTCTTTTTTTGACAAGACTTTTCCATTGTTAGCGATCGCCAACGCAGTAGCGTTCGCATTCACCTCCCACTGAACTACAAACAAACGCAGTGCGCAGACTCGGACTAATTTGCATATAACAGCTGTTATTCACTGCCTAGGAATTACAAATATCTTGACCCCCCCCCCCCCCTATAGCTGGAATTCGTGCAAAGAACCTCGAGGTCATTGCGTTTCGCAAGAATGGCGAGTATGTCTACGGCTAGTAGCCAAGATCGCCCTGAATATTTTTGGAATGAAAATATAATTCGCAAGTGAGGCTAATCAATTTTACTAAATTGTCGCCATACACAATTTATCGAATTTTGCGATTGTGGCGAGTGCCAGTGTGAACACTGTCAGTGTGTTAATATTTTGAGTAGAAAATGAGTACATTGTTGGTAACATATTGCGAACAATGCTTAGGGCTAATTTGAACAACCAAAATGTTCACCTTGAGAGGAGTGACTGATTTAAATCGTCCCAGACGGGTATATTTGACTCACATGCGACAATATATTTATTTCCGTTCACTCTAAACATCATTATATACCAAGCACCAATGTTGTATAAAAGTATCTTTAGCTTTTTTCTCAGTAGTGTGCATGGACCTGTTTAGTGCATCTCTCAGTTGTGTACACAATCCCCAGCAATCACTACGTAACGAATGAAAATGAGCATGCGCGGAAAAAAATCGCTTGCGTATGCAATATATTTATTTGGCCAATAAAAATGCCCCCAAATGGGGGGGGGGGATTATAGAAACATGTGCGTCAGCAAAAAATAATCGTTATAATCGAACGAGCGGATCAAAACTATCAGTTGCAGGAGTGTTTCTCTGAAGTCTCTGCACGGCATTTCCCATCGAAGAATACTGTAGGAAAGGCAGACAGGATGTTACGTTTATTATTTGTCCTTGCAGTAACTAGTTTGGCTCTAGCAGCCCCACATGAGGTAGGTTC